TTTCACCTCTGAGCCATGGAAAGCACGTACTCTGATAGTCCCATTTGACTATGAGAGTGAGGCAATAGTGAGTGCAGCTGTGTTTGTGCATACACTCGTGCACTATAATCTTCTTTCGTTGAGATTGGTCTGGAGGACATTGGATAATGTAAAGGAGAGAAGTGTGTGGTGACGTGGTGTGGTGACGTGGTGTGGTGGTGTGGTGCAGGAGCTGGAGCTGCGCGGCAGCCCGCTGGGCGACTCGGAGGTGTCGGCGCTGGGCTGGCTGCCGCAGCTGCGCGCGCTGCGCCTGGCCGCCCGCCCCGCCCCCGCACCCGCACCCTCCTGCCCCGCGCCCACCTCGCCCGGCCCCACTCCCGAGCACTCGCACCACTGCACCGCCCCCGCCTCCACGCCCACCGACACTCTCGCCGCTTGGGAACTGCAGGTGTGTACACGATGCATACTAAACAATCAATATAACTCCAGTAATAATGATCGCTTGTGGAACACCAACTCGTATATTAAATTTTTGTACTAATACAAGCTGCACCCCACAAGGGGTTGAATTTTCCAAAATCCTTCCTTAATGGGTTTCTACATCGAGAAAGAAGTATATACAGGTTGGCCAGAAAGTCGTGGATCAAACTAAATAGGGAGATACAGAAGGTTATTTCCAACAAAAAATCGATCTACAGCATGTTTTCTTTAAATAAAATACCGTATTCATTTACAATTAGATTAATTTAAAAAAATTATAATACAACAATACAAAGGATGTTGTATTAATACTAGATAATGTATCAGCACTACAAAAGTTCTATTGTAGCTCTGGATATGCAAATTTAAAGAGCAATTAATTTTTTTTTCAAAAATTTTGAAATGCTATGAAAAAAAAATTCAATAAAGTCCTGAACTAAGACGAGCGTTCTGGTCCTTTTCACAAATTCTAAGTGTGACAAGCACAGAAAAAATTCTAGCATTCCAACATACAAAAAACTAGCAGTTTAATTAGCAGCATGATAAACTTCAAAATAAATCATTATAAATTAACCTAACCTAATGAAATTTGCATCGTGGTATGAAAAACAATCATAACACCAGCATTAAGAAACAAAGAGTGATGTTGTTACACCTTATTTCAACAAGTTTTTCTGATACAGGGTCACTTTTCCGTAGTACATTTTTTTCAGTGTCCTTTTAAAGTAAATTTTTTTTTTAACTAAGATAGAATGCCTCGTATCCAGAAAAAAAGATCTCCAGTTCTCTACACTCACCATACGAAACACAGCTGCACTACGCTGCTATTCCACATGATATATATATACAGGGTCATTTTTAATTTATTAAAGAATTTTTGGGAATATATTGGTTACATCATTACAAACAATTTTAGCGAAATCACTCTTCACAGAATATAATACATTTACGAAAAAACTACTTTTAAGGTTTTGTTGCCATGTCTGACTCCTTTTAAGTCTGTATTTTGTAGTACCTAAACAATGTCAGAATAAATCGTCAAAGAAAATGCCTTATTTATTTTACACTTGATATCAGTATACACATTGTGTTGAAATTATTAAACATAATTAAATGACATTCAAAAAAAAAATCACAAATATTAAAATTTATATTATGTAAGTATGACCGCCGGGCCCGTCGACGCCCGCGCTCAGCTGATTGGGTTGCGAGTGCCTACTAAACCATTCATCACTATGCCTATTGCACCAGGGCGCCACTTTAAATGACTACATTAACTTTTCATATAGGTACTTCTTTATTTTGCATAAATCCATTTGATGAACTATCTGATTCTTTTATTAATTTCTTTAAGAATTAATAGACATTGTTTAATAGACATTTAGGTAGTTTTTTTTACGAATACTGATTGCTGGTAGCAACGCAGCCTCAACGTCGCACATGCAGCGGCCCAAGGCCAAGCCAAAGGTATATTATGACGTCGACACAGGTGTCATCGTCATCAAAGGCGCCGCCTGTCCTTTTCGGTTTGCAGCCATCGATTTGGTGATCGACGTTTGCAGCACGTGCAAATTAAATGAGTATTATTAACTATTTTTTTTAATTTAATGTAAGTTGTATTTAAAAAATGATGCAGGTTAAAATAATTACAAATATTACAATAAAATATTTATAATGATTAAATACAAATTAACAGTAATTGATTTTTTTTATTATTTATTAAGGTATAATGATTCAATAAAAATATTAAAATACAAATTTAATAATTAGACTTACCTAGGTACTTGCCCGCGGATGGCGGTGAGTATCGCGCACATAGCGTTCAAAATAATCACCTCCACCAGTTACAAAATGTAACTCGCGCTGATTTGTCAGCTTCGCTGAGTTCATGAACACGATGCAAGTGGAAAGGGTACTTCCCTTCATTGTGTATGACACTCCATGCGTAGTACTGTGACACATTGAACTGTCGGGCTGCCTCTTAAGTGCTCGCTGCTGGATTTTGATTCAAAAAACTGCAGTATGTCTTTCAGCTCACGTACTGTTCGCCGCGGTGGACGACCACGATCGATTGATACTGGTTGGAATTGCCCATAATCGCGCAATCGCTGTGTAGTACCTAGCATTGTAGCGTAGCTCGGTGCACGTGAGTTGGGAAATCGCCTTGAATATTCATGGCAGGCTTCACTAACGTTATCATTGCAAATGGCTAATTTCGGTATACTCAACATTTGAGTGTTGGTAAGCCATCGTAACCACGTAACGTTCGCGATATTAATCTCACAACGGAAGGAGAAACGTCGCAGGCGCACTAAAGGCGACTGACGACACAGGCACAGGTAATTAGGTCAAGTTCAAATGAGCAAGCGCCGCCTCCTACACCCCTCCACCCTACCCCGCCACGCGCTTTATTTTGCTATTTAGGACTATTGCCGTTTAGAAGGTCCAGTTAAAATATTTTATTTTTGTATGAAAATAAAAATTGAAGAAATATGTTTTTTTTCTTACAGATGTTATGATGTAAATAATATATTCCCAAAAGGTCTTCAGTAAATTAAAAATTACCCTGTATATATATATATATATATATATATATATATATACATATATATATATATGTATATATATATATATATATATATACAGATCAAATTATATATATATATATATATATATAAATATATATATAATGTGAAACATATGTTTCACATTATATATATATTGAACATATAGCTTCAAAAATCAAAATAACATTTTAAACTTCTTGACAAGTTAAAGACTTAAAACTTAACTCGGAACTGGATGTGTAGTAAAAATGGTCGCCATTTTGAATTATAAATATTTAGTAATAGTTTTCTGTTACAGGAGCCGGAATATTTCAAACACAAACTACAAGCGGAGACAGAGTCAGACTCCAATCTCAACGAGAACCAAGAAGGACCGTCCGATAGGTAAATATTGCAAACATTTTAGTATTAGGCTGGCTTTTCACAATATATATTATATCCCGAAATATAAATTATATCCCGCGATTGGCTTTCCCACTGTGAGATATATCTTTTAACCAGTGTGCGTTCGTCATTGGTCATTGGATTACCCCCCTTTACCCCGTACACCGTTTTGCGGGGGCGCGGAACGGTGTGCGGGGTACAGGGGGCGAAATATAATATGAAAATATCGCTCGTTTGATCGAAAAAATATTTATAGCTTGAGATGTAATATATATTATAGCTCAGTGTAAACGGTTCCATATGAAATGTATGGTGAGCGATATTTATTTATATCTCAAGATGTAATATATATATATTATATAATATCCCATAGAGAAATAGTGAAAAGCGGGCTTTACATAAGTTCAAACCCCGTCCCAATTCTCTCTGTAATAATATATTATTGCGTGTAACTTCATCGAGCATTCATTCTTTTAAAGTGAAAACTTATTTAGAATAATTGTGATTTGAAAGTCGATGAAACGGGAAAGTGACACAAAAAAGAGACAAACATATACATCTATAGGACTTAGCCAGCGAGAGAATGAGATAGGATACAGTATCATCATTCATCATTATAGCCCGTTACAAGTCCACTTCTCCTGACCCACCTGCATCCATCGACTTTCCGCGTGTCTTACCAGGTCGTCACTCCATCTAGATTTTTTTTTATTGTCGATTTTTCTGAAGTAATGTAATTTCTATACGATTAAATACTGATTTTGATAACGCGCTTAACCAGAACTACAGGGTTTTTGTTATATTTCGTAAACTTCGTTACTCGGCTTCAAACGTGGTAGAGCCATGCTGCAGCTATATTAGTAGTATAGTTGTTGCACGAATGGGTCGGCTCGAACGGGGAAGGACCACGCTCACACAGAATACCAGTGTAAAATAGCAGCTTAACACTGTTGTGTTTCGTATGGTGAGTGTAGAGAACCGGAGACCCTTTTTACTGGAAAAGAGGCATTCCATCCTAGTCCTCACGGATGACAACGCATCTGCATTTTGATTCTTTATTGAGGATAGATGTAGATGTCTATGGGTTACAGCAACCACTACCACAATCAGGTGGATTGTGTGGTCGTTTGTCACCCTATCCTATAAAAAAAACCGCTTTTTTAACGAAGCCTCAGAAAATATGCAGGCCTTGTCTATCAAAAGGTTTAAAGTTTTTATCAAGCAAAAATTGTTTAGTAAGGTTTATTTATTATACTACTAAAGAGTACACGACTGATATTATTTGTTATTAAAACCCCTGGGAATGAGACGCTGGGATGTTGTTTCTAAATGTTTTCATACTCATTATATAAAATGTTATATTGTAAATTATTATTTTAAAAAGATATAGTCCTTATGGCAGAATCACTGGAGAACCTAAGCACTATGCTCAATAACCTCAATAGTGTCTCCCAACGGAGAGGTCTTAAGATGAACATGGACAAAACAAAGATCATGTTTAATGTCCATGTCACACCTATGCCGGTAGTTGTTGGGAGCACTAAACTCGAAGTTGTTGACGGGTATGTTTACCTGGGACAAATAGTCCGACTAGGTAAGTCCAACTTCTACCGAGAGGTAAATCGACGGATTCAACTCGGTTGGGTAGCGTTCGGAAAATTACGGCACATCTTCTCGTCAGGTATACCTCAAAACTTGAAAACGAGACTGTACAACCAGTGCGTGTTGCCAGTGATGACCTATGGAACTGAGACGTAGTCCTTCACTGCTGGCCGGATGAGGAAGCTCAAGGACGCTCAGCGAGCTATGGAGAGGGCTATGCTCGGAGTTTCTCTGCGTGATAAACTTAGAAATGAGTATATCCGCAGTAGAACCAGAGTGACCGACATATCCCGATTGTGTGTGAAGTGGCAATGGGCCGGCCATATAGTTCAAAGAACCGACAACCGATGGGGATAAAAGGTTCTCGAGTGGCGGCCTCGTACCGGCGGACGAAGTGTAGGGCGTCCCCCCACTAGATGGAGTGACGACCTGGTAAGACATGCAGGAAGTCGATGGATGCAGGTGGCTTAGGACCGTGCTTTGTGGCATTCCTTGGGGGAGGTCTATGTTCAGCAGTGGACTTGTGCAAGGCTGTAATGAATGAATGAATGAATGAATTTAAAAAAGTCCCGCTGGGTTTCTTGCTGTTTCTTGCTTTCTTTTTGTTTTTTTTCCAAATTAGTTGTAAATCTTAAATGACTTTTAATAAGTATTCTTGTATTTTATATTTCATAAAAACGATTACATTCTATTCTATTCTATAATTTAAACATTTACTTACAGTGACAGAGCACAGAAAAGCTCAAACGATGCCAAGGTTGTAAGGAAGAATTCCTTAAAACGGAAACTGGAAGACGGTAGTGGCGATAGTGCCGCAATAAATGGTGACCAACCATCTACTTCCAAACGAAAGAGGTTTCCAGACCCCGGAGAAGGGAGTAGCCAAAGAAGGAATGACAGGGGTGACTCAGATGATGATTCTCACAGGAGGAGAATACATAGGAATTCGTTCCGTGTGACGGTATTTAGAACTAGAGTGAATCGCGAATACGAGAACAACGAAAGCCAGGAGGGTGAGTCTGAGAATGTAAAAGAAAATAAACAAATAGAGATCAGACAGATCGGATATGGAAATGACCAAAATAATGTCGAAGACAAAGCAAAAGAAGAGAATGGAGATCCAGATAAAAAGTCTGATGGAGAGGGTTCTTCGAGAGATGGGAATTCCGTTAATAATGGAGCTAGCACCTCTAACGAATCTAAAGAGGCTTCGAACCACTCCGCACTCAGGGGATACATTTGCTTCCGTAGGAAGCAAATGAATCCCCTGAGAAACCCAGCTTATCGTGAAATCCCAGAACCCCAACCCCCACCGCAACAAGAAGGCGCCCAAGGGGAGCCATTGCACCGTGTTCTATATGTGAACTTTGGACAGCCAAGTCAAATTATGTATGGCTATCCGAGGTACATGAACTTTGTGTCCGATAGAGTCAATGTCTTCAGTCCCACACCCACACACCTGGACCCCTCGTCCCTCGTGTCCGACTCCTCAGTGAGAAGGTTTGGCCGCGCAGATAACGAGGATATCAACTACGTACATATTGGACCCAACGGACCCGTTCAAGGAAACGGGGAGTCCTTTTCAAGACCGGATCGCTCCAGTTTGAGGATATTATCTATGGTCGGTTACAGACACATCACGGACAGGAGCTTGGTGCACTTGGCTACCGCTGCACCATATTTACAGGTTTTGGACTTCAGGGGAACAAGTGTTACCGCTCAGGGGGTGGCTAATTTCAAAAACATCAGGCCGGATTGTGAGGTTAGGTTCGGTGAAATTAAGGAAGAGTGAAAAATGTGTTTTTTAGAAAGTGCTAATTTAGCAATCGGTTTATTTATGGTGAGTAAGATTAAATAACAACTATAGCTAAATTATATTTAAGGTATATCATACCATAGACAAAGTCTGTTAGTTTAGAAATTGTAGAAAGTTTTGTATTTATGCAATTGAAAGAACATTGGCCACTCTCCTAACATGTTTGGACTAGTTAAATCTGATATAACGTAACTTGATGAAACATATAACAAAGTATATGTTTCTTCAAGTATAACAAGAGTACAGCAATCAGTATATTTTTAAAAGTATGGAGAATGTAGTAATTATGCAACATATTTTTGAGGTTACCCCATATCATCCGGTGGGTGTCGTAAAAGTTGACAGAAGGAAACCAAAACAGGAAATGAGCAGCAGTATCTTCCTAATAACGACTAAAAATAAAAAAAAATTTAAACTGCGGTTGCCAACCCTCTTGTCAACCGTGGCAGCTATGATAAATATCCACCCTATGAGATAATCTACGGGGGAGACATATGTTCAGCAGTGGACTTGAATAGGCTGTAACGGTAATAATTAACATAAGTTTATACAGTTGCCGTTGTCTAGAATTTAATTTCGATTCAGACACAAAATTGATTTAGACTATAAAAAGATATGGATGAAACTATAGTGATCATATCACAGTACGTTTTGTTAGATTATATACTCTGTGACACCTATGGACTTCTCTAGTAAAATGTAGTTATATACTCTTTGCTTAGAAACGTAAACAATGAGGGCTGGAGTTTTGGCGGGAACTTGACCTGCGGAAGATTACTGCTCCTGTATTATGTTTAAATAATGGTTTCAAGTCGATTCTGATATGTGAAAGTGGTGCTGTCTTGTGTATTAAATGTCTGCGCATGTGAACTATTCAGTGTGAACTCCGATGGTGATATGAATCTCAAGATAAGGTGTCTGTCTGCTTAGTTGCCGTCAATATCTCCCAAAAACTACGCAATGTGACGCATCAACATATTGTAAAGCAGTAACTATCAAGGATTATTATCACTTGATAATGAGATAAATGAAGGCTTAAAGGACAAGCGTCCAAACCAAATATCTTAATAAAAAAAAACAACAATTACAGATGTTATTTAATACTGCGTTCTGATGAGCAAAGTTCTATTTTTAAAGACGAGAAGATTTATATCTCCCTAGCTTTTAAAAATAAACTCATGATATCCATTAATTAAATTGAAAATTTTCTAGATTTTGTGACAGTCCCATGTCGTTAACAATTTATGTTTTTTCCTACTCACAAATGGCCATTGTTCTTTATTGGGTCAACTAGACATGTGTCAATCGTGAACGATTCGGTCATTTGACCCGGATTGAGTAAAAATATATTGATGTTTGCATTCATATTTTTGAAACGATCCGGAACAAATGATTGACAGAACATTTATAATCTGTGACCTGTGATTGAATGTTTTGCGCGTATTGTGAATGTGAATGTATACGCGAATAGGTTGTTTTTCTACTTATTATCTATATAATACAATCCTATTATAAGGCATAAATACTTGTGTGTGAGTTTTAGTTCGAGATAATCATTATTTTTTATGGTATAAGGGTGACAATCGAGCACACAGTCCATATGGTGGTAAGTGGATGCTGTGACCCGTACACATCTACATTTATCCTCGATTAAGAATCAAAATGCAGATGCGTTGTCATCCCTGACGACTAAGATGGAGTGCCTCGTTTCCAATAAAAAACGGGTCTCTGGTTTTCTACACTCACCATACGAAACACAGCAGTATAACCTGCTATATCATGCTGGTATTCTGTGAGAGCGTGGTCATACCTCGGTCAAGCCGACCCATTCGCGCTGCAGCGATAATATAGCTACAGTGTGGCTCTATCACATACGAAAGTAACTTACAATTCTAGAAGACTATTTTATCACTTTTTCACTCGATATAAATGATAGGCACATGTCTAGTAGTCATGTGTCAATCGTGAATGATTTTTGACATTTGAACTGGATCGCATCGGTGTTTGATGATTGCAATTACATTTAATGTTCCGGATCAAACGATTGACAGGACCTACGACCAAAGAGTATAGTGATGTCCGACGATCGACATAATCGGCGGATCTCACAGATTACACAGTACTGAAACTCGAAATGATCCGTTAGAGTGATCGACCTTAATGACCCGGTCACAAGAAATGAACGATTGACATATGTGTAGTCAGTCAATGACCCGAACCAGGATCTCGTGAAGGATCGAATGAATGATATTCATAAAGAATTATTATTGTATTTCCAAAATGCATGATTAAGTCATTTACTTTATTGATTTATTAAGAAATTTCTGTTTATAATATAAATTTAAACCTGTGGTAGTGTTGTAGGAATATCCCCAACCCCATTCGTCCCATAATTAAAATTAAACCTGTTCTATCAGTGTAACAAACTGTTTTATTGGTCTAAAAAGTTTAAAAAAAAGTAGCAGCTTTTTTACAGGAGAGGGTTGGGGGGGGGGGGGGGTTAATTACTCAGACATCTAGTACGAAGTTATTCTTCACCACTTCACCTATATATTAGAATTTTATGTAGTAATTTACCATGTGGTAAATTACTACATAAAATTCTAATATATAAAAGAATATGTTTGTTTGTTCGTATTTTATGCGCTGCCATACCGTTCATCGTCTTGCGCTAAAACTTTGTCAACTTATTGCTTGCACTTGCGCGAAGGTTATAGGTATAGTACAATTAACTTACAGTAGGTGGCGCGCGTATCGCGTACCGACAAATTTATTTGAAAGGCATTATCGTTTCAATTTCAATGGATGTATGATGTAAATAATGTGTAATTCCTAATTGAACAATATAACCCTTCCAAATTTAAAACGATGTATTTCCACAAATATTTCTATTGCGGTAGCAATGAGCCGGGTACCAACCAGCTAGTTTCCTAAAACAGTTTCTTTGGTCCTCGCGGGAATCGTACACATTTTGATCTAAACTCTGTCAGATATGAGAGACAACCAGCTGTGGGACGTATATAGGCTAAAATAAATAATATGAAAAAGAGATTTTTTTTATTATAGAATAAGGTTGACAAACGAGCACACAGTCCACGTGATGGTAAGTGGATGCTGTGGCACATAGACATCTACATCTATCCTCGTTTGCTACTCAAAATGCAGATGCGTTGTCAGCCGTGAGGACTAAGATGGAATGCCTCTTTTCGGGTAAAAAGGGTCTCCGGTTCTCTACACTCACCATATGAAACGCTATAAAAACGCTATAAATCCATTAATCATCCATTACAGCCTATAGAACTGCAGTTTCTTTATTATTTTTATCTTTTTAGTTGTTATCGGGAAGACGCTGCTGCCCATCTCCTGATTTGTTTCCCTCTGTCGCCTCTTACGACACCCACGGGGTGATATGGGGTAGTGGATATTCTTACAGCGTCACTACACGGTGAATATTTAATTTAATTAATATAATATATTAAAGTGTAACAAATAGAATTCAATGTAAAAGTAAAAGAATATGCAAGACTTAAATATATCTCTAGCCCAATGGGGACGTATATACACTCTTCTAATAATTCGAATGTACTATTTGATTTTGGTTTGCATATAAATATGCACTTAAAAATGTGATGATACACCCTATAGTGTTAATAATTGTAGCGTTATTCGTATATGCACGTCTTTGTGTGGGTTACGTAGACCACAAAGAAAGACAGAATACTACGTACATTTAAAGAAAAAAAAACCATGCTCACGTTCTTCACACGCACTCACGCACACACACTCACTAGTAAACGCGCACGTATGCACCTGAAACCAAAGACCTATGTATATACACTGCTAACATTTAACATTTATTTATTCAACACAACGATGTAAGCTTACAGTACTGGACCAAATCGTTTATTTTTTTACACGTTCCGATCGCGACCAGTTCGACTAAAACCGTTACCACGGAGAAAGTTCTTTACCTATATCAGAATAAAAATAACTCACAGAAAGCTAATGATATGCAGAATTTTATTACATTACTAATTATATTTTATTAAAAATAAATAATATATAATACAAAAACTTAAATAAAAACCGACACACATAGGCGAAGTTTTCGCATGTCGAATTCATCGCATATAAAAACATCATTACAGATGGAGATTTTGAGTTCTGTCGGGAGTCTGGAGATCTTTCGAAATGTCTGGAGAATCTAGACGAATCCTGATTATCTGGCTGCGCCACCGTTTTTGTTTTGAATCGCCGGCCTAGTAGTATCTATACAAATAAATAAAATCGAAGTGTCTGTTTCTAATGTCGAAATAACAGCTTTTTACTATATACTATATTTTTAAAATTTTTGTCTGTCTGTCTTTCTGCCTGTCTGTCTGTTTGTTTCGATTAATCTCCGAAACGGCTGGACCGATTTTTACAGGACCGGACCGGAACTTCACAGGCAGATAGCTGATGTAATAAAAAGTAACTTAGGCTACTTTTATTTTAGAAAAAGAATTAGGGTACCGCGCAAAAAATTAAAACACATGAAATCCAATCGTAATAAATTACGCGCGGGCGAAGTCGCAGGGAACAGCTAGTAGGTACATAAGTCTTTGTGTATTATAGGTAGAAGTCTTTGCCTAAAATCATGTTGTTGGTTACAAAGGATTTTGACTTCATATCTGTGCTCTGTGTATAAAAACACGTACTCAATGTTTTTACAACAATTTGAGCATGCTTTCGACATCATTTAAATGTACCGTTCTATCTTTCTTTGTTAGTCTAAAATATTTTAGAATAAGGATTGTCGAAGAAAATAGGAGATTTATTTGTGCAAGTCTCATGTGAAGCTTTAGTAGTTTTAGAAGGAATATTTAACAAATTAATTTATTTGTATTTCTTTCGGTAAACAAAGGGTATTAAACTGTAAGAAAAAGACAGAGAACAGCTCAAAATTTCACATAATTATTTAAAAAAATGGCGTTATAGTGGCCATTTCCCGCCTATTTCTCTGTCAAAAAAATAAAAAAAATTGTGTGTAACAATTTGTGTAAGTGTAACTTCTCGTTGTCTGTCAATATATTGATGTTAAGTCATGCCACAATATTTTGTAGTCATTTCATATGGAATTATTATTATGTAAACGTTTCGCCTAATGTTAGTGTAATTTATCAACTTAAGATTAGCCGACTAAACTTAAGTTTTAAATAGCCTCTTGTAGGCTAATGTAGGATGATGTGCGTAAGCATCTTTTTTCGTGCTTGAGTTTAATTGAAACCGTAAGCTAAATATGTAGAAGCAAATGAAATAGAAACAAACAATAAAGGAAGTTACAGGATTTGATTTTGAAATGAAAACGTAGCTTAAAGGGAAAGCATCCAAGCCAAAAATCTTAATAAAAAATATATATATTTCAAAAACTCGATAGAACAATCGTCGTGACTTGGAGAAGGTTCATAAATATGAGCCAAATATGACCAAAATATCCACCTTATACATTTTAATTTAAATAAAATTTTATAGCTTTTTATTACAATATTCAACAGCATTTTTTAACAATCATACATAAAAATATATATTATGACAGTTAGCCAATAACAGTGTTCATAACATGCTAAATAAGACTTATGAAGATGGGTAAAATTGTAACAATATAATTTAAATAATTCTTTTCACACGATTTCAGTAGATTGATATTTTGTTTCGTTTAGATTTTTGTTTGAATTGGTCATTGTATTTATATAAACGATAACTAAAACTACACTCTACTTGGTTATTTATGTGTATTTGAATTATTCATGCCTAAAATTAGGTGTACTCGGTTGCCAGTTGGTTAAAGTGCGGCTGGGTGACCCACGAGAACATTTCCAATAATCTAATCAGTTATTCCGTTAAAGACATATAACTTGAAATTAAGTGTTAATTATATCTTTACCTGTCTCTTTCTATTGTCATTCATTGAAAAGAGAGAGGGAGAGAGAGAGAAAACTTAGTCATTTCTTAAATTAACTTAGAGTGTGGCCGGAAGTTTATTGGTATCTATCGACCTGTCTCTTGCTATTGTCCTTTACTAAAAAG